TCTAAAATCCCTCATATCCATGAGGGAATTTTATCTTCTCAATCGGTTTATCAATAAGTTGTCAAAATGTTTGTCACATATCGTTTATAAATAATATAATATGTTTTAAAATTTGCCATTTCGGAGAATTCCAATATTACTGTGTAATACTAAAAAACAGCATTAAGGGGAGCAGCCTTAATTGAGGTCTTACTGTAATATATAACCTACATTTTTCATATGTTTATATTAAAATTTCCAACAAAAACCCATTAAATGATTATCAGAACCAAAATACAAAATGTACAACAAAACAAGATTACATACACAAAAATTTATTGCTTTTTTAAACTGAATCTCATGAACTCAGCTTAATTTAATATTTATCAAAAGATATTTTGTCATGTACATTTCATTTTTTTATAGATACTTAGCAAGTAGCTCAATTAAATGTTTCCCAAATGTAATTGTTTAACTTATATACAAACTACTAACCAAAAATTTCATCAGCAATGGTAAACAGATTGGTGCAATTTTAAGAAGTATTAAACCTCCATGTACAAATTCTTAATTAATTACTTAATGAAAGAGATAAATGTAGGGATAAATAAAAAAATATAATGATAGCAATAAAAGAACAGAATCTTTAGAGTAAATTTATAAACAAATTAAAATGAGAAAATTTAATTGGGAATAAGCTATTGAAATAGTTAAGAACTGAAATTAAAATTGTTTGCAATGTTGTTATTTCAGAAGTACTTCACCACTTTTATAAATTTATAAATACGTTTTTACACACACACACACACACACACACAAATATATATATATATAAGGAAAATTTCATTAAATAAATTGGTAACAAAACTTACAATTATGGATTATAAATTACACATTCTATTTATAATTAGTTTAACTTATATTGCATACAATTTACTATTATAACTAGCTATATATATATATATATATACATCTATAATGTATTAAGTTTTGTATTTAAGAAATTAAAGCATCATCGGTGATAAATATTACATTATTAAATGAATTATAAATGATGCAGGCAATAACTAAATACAAATACATTTTTTTAATCAGCAACATCAGTTCTAAGAAGGATGAATCTCTTAAATCATTTGATTAGCATTATTGTTAAGATTAAAGTTTCAAGAAGTCTACAATAAAGTAAAATATCAAAATTATTGAATTCAATTGATTTTTGTTAAATATCTGCAATTTCATTTATATTTTTAGATTTATATAGATAATCAAGATATAGATTAAAATTAATTTTATAATCAAACTTTAAAACACATCATCGAATACACAAAGCAGAAACTTTTTATAATTTTGTAGAAAAACAATACAATTTAGATGTCAAAACGCCTGAAGAAATATAATGTCATAACATTAAAAATTATTTTTACCTTTCAAATTTTGTTGAACATTTTGAAATAAAATAATGGCACTATTCAAAAAGTAAAAAACTTGTTGCTTAAGAATCTTTTATTTTAGTAAAAATTTACTCAATTATGAATACAGAGAAATAAGAAAAAAATACAAATGTTTCATAAATAATAACAATCCACTTTAATCATAGTGAATTCTAATTAAGTTTATATCAACATGTAAAAAAAAAATATATTTTTCGCAATAATTACCTATATACTATTCACATTGAGAGCATAGATGAAATCTTCGGTAAACTGTTTCTGAAGTAAATTTTCTAACAATTTGTAGAATTTTAAGAAATAAGATTTATAATCTAAATAATACTTACCATATTTTGATGATTAATAAAAAAAATTACAAATACTACCAAATAAAAAAATTAGAAAAATTAAGGACAATTTTTTTTTAAACAACGGCACATGTAATAACAAACTCCTTTGCAAGTATCTTAAAAACATTAAACAATAAAAAAATCTAATAAAACTGCAGATTTCTTTTTCAATTTTACCTTTCTTTGTTAGAACTTTCTTGAAAGGCCATGAAAATTATGTTCTAAATATTAATATCACAGTTATTTACAAGGGTAAACCATAAATCATATTAAATTTTTATGTATAGAATAGGATTAAAACAACAGAATGTTAAACATTCAAGCAACCGTATATAAAAAATATAAATATGAACCTAAATATCAATTAAATAACTATGGGGAGTTACATCACAACAAAGAAATGACATATTATTTACAAATACGAAACTACCGGCATGTGTTTAACAGACAGAAAACAACTTTTGTTGAAAAAGCGCCCTGATTGGCTAAAATATCTAAAGTAATTCAAGGCAGTTAAAGCACGTGAGTCCGGGTCATCACATTATAATAGATTGGATTAACATTAATCATGCAATACACTGGTTTATTGAGGACAATACATAATGAATAAAAAAAGGGGGTGAAAGGGGATATAAGATAAATTTTCTAATTAAATATGCACCAGGAATTATGTTACTGAATCCATAACCCTTAAGATTTACAAAAATGAGTAAGCAAATTCTGCAACACATTAAATGACATAAAAACTAGTGCTCAAGTAGGAATTGTCAGAACCGATGGAAATTTTTAATGCACTTTTGTAACGTTGATTTAAGTGAATACAAAATGAAAGTAAAAGAACGATTTATTACAGGAAAGCTCATAAAGAAATATAAGATCTTAAAGTATTGATTTGTCATTGTATATTGATTGTTCACATTGTTTGTTCCAAATGCATAAATGTGACAGCTTGTATGTCAACAAATCACTTATGACACTAATTTTTTTAAATTTCATTTATAAATAGGCAGTAATGTTCTATGTTTTCCCAAAAAATTAAGCAAATAAAATACCTCAAGATATTTATTTAGAATATAGCATATTATATCTGACAATAAATACTACTGTGCTCAAAAAAAGTAAGACCAACTATCAATTTTTTTTTCAAAAACTCTTTATTTATTCTTCCAAATTTATTTCCAAAATTTATTAAGTAATCCCCTCTGGACACAATGCACTTATGACGACTTTTTCCTATCCTCAATGCATGCTAAAAGGGCAGGGGTGTCCTTCAAAGCGAGCGGCGATTCACATTGAATCTCATTAATCGACTCAAAACGGTGTCCCCAGAGTAGTCTTTTGAGTTTAGGGAATAGACATTGCCAGTAACCTAACAAGAAAAAAAAAAAATTGAAATTCCATAAGCCCCGAGAATTTTAAATTGAAAATTGGTCTCATTTTTGGACACAGTAGTATATAATACGTAAACATTAGTATATAATACGTAAGCAATTAATTATACGGGAAAATATAAAAAGGCAATTAATTATACCTGAAAATTGAATTATACGCTTGTTAATATAATTTAAAATTGAATTATTAATAAATCTCTAAACAGTTTCATGCTCTTTTGTAAAGTTTTTAATACAATTTTAAAGAAACATTTTATCTTTTTACAACTTAATTTCAAACTATTTTTATATTAGAACACAGAATAATGTAGTACTGAATTAGAAAAAGTAATATAATTAGTTTTTATGAACCAAATGATTTATTAATTTTTTCGCAAAAAATAAATTTAAAAAATAACTAAAAAATAAGCACATTAAATATTATTTATTTCTTTTAATTCATTTATCTATTAGAAGTTTGTTAAATTTAATAAGGATATTTTTTTCTATTCGTAAAAACATAGAATTCAAGAAATACTTTAAAGAATATAATGAGCATTTTTAAAAGATAGAAAATCTTATTAATTACTGAAAATTTTTAAATAAAAAAATTAATATTTAATGTAAATGAATTTTTGTAGCTATTTCTTGGATAACTTTTCGTTTTCAAACTCGCTTCAGAGTAACTTCAGCGTAATTTCATTTACATAAAAAAAAAAATCTATAATAAATTTTATTTCTAATTGCGAACGAATTCTAAATGACATTTTCTTGAATATATATATAAACTTCTCATAATAATTTTTTTTTTTAATTATATTTTGGAGGTTGACGACACTAGAAAGCAACAGTGTAAAAATTTTAAAATTTATAATTCGTCATTTTATGTTTTTATTTTGAAATTTATTTTCTTTTGAACGGTGCAAAAAATAAAATATATATATTGATTAGAAGGCAAGAGATCGTTAATTATGCACATGTTTCATTTAACATTGGAAAAGATAATTTTAAAGAATTAACATGTACATGTTTCGGCATGTTTAAAAGAGTTAACATGATGAAGAATTGACTGCGCTAATCTAGGGTTTCGTAATGGGAAATTTTCTATTTAGCAGTTAATTCATCGTGTAAATTAATTTTGTAAATCAATTACGTTGCATTATAAGTTAGTTCCCTTCCAGCCATTTCAGACGATGCTACTTGTAAAGATCTAATGATAGCTACAAAAGTTATTAAGAGTGTTCCATTTTTGCGCTGGGGGACAAACATATATTATTAAATTGTATGCTCCTCTTTGTAGCTTTCCTTTATTTCTGATTTTTTTCTGCGTGATAGAGACAATCAAAAAAAACTCCCCCCTATAGAAAATATGTCTGGAAATGTCATGTTTAAACGGTAGTAGTTAAAAAGATTTCAAAGTTTAGATTAATGAAATAAATTAAATTTAGTAAATCTTTCAATAAATCCTATTTTTACATTAGATGCCGAAGAAAACGACCGCTAATACTATTACAAGCTTCAGTACATAGATCATGGTACATTCTCTTCCTGTACCAATGCTCTAACGTTGCCATTTCGGCCATTGTCCGATTGTTTTTGTAAGCAGTCCAGTACATAAGAGTAATTGCAAGTTCCGAATTCGCGTAGTGGTACATGCTATTAAAATTTCCACTTGGAGATCATTTCTTAGTTTGGTTTGTCGCCCTACGGTAATTTGTGCACACTTTAGGCTAATTAGACTGGGACCTACAGTTAATTCTGAACCACTAACAAACATCCATGTCACCGCCATGATTCGAACAGGAAAGCCTATGGTACCAAAAAAAAAAGAGCGCTAGCCAATTGGGGCCGCTCAAAATTTTGAATGCCAACGGCACGCGTTGTTTTCTAGGTAGTCAACCACCCAAGTACTGAAAGCGCCTAATGATGATTGACTTCAGTGATCAAACGATAACCGGTATATTCAGCATGGTATGCCCATCGGCGATAATCCCTTAGTGCAAAATGCTAACAATTTATCTTAACAATGATCTAAAAAAAATTCCATGATATGCCAAACAATGAAATAATACCCCCAACTCGTGACCAAGTGGCAACATGATCAGCTAGCGTGCAAAAGATTCAGGATAGTGCTGCAATATATCAACTTCTATACCGTTCAACCAATCTCTATGGAAATTGATAATAATGTGTATTCGTGTATGGAATATGCGTTCGCGCTATCCACTTTAATGTTACTTGCCACCAGATGGTGGTGCAGCATTTTATCTTATGTACCGTTCATAGGATATCCATGAAAATTAGTATGCATATATATTGGAACATGAAAATATATTCACGATATTCATTTTCTACAATGCATTTTTGGAAGGGCAATGTATGCCAGGTTCTGCTAGTATATATATATATATATATATATATATAAAGCCCAACTCGTGGCCAAGTGACAATAAGCATAGTTGGCGTGCAGGAAGACCTAGATTCGAATTCACTGGCATCATTGTTGCAGTCATTGCTTTCCTGAAACCTGGAGACTCAATGGCGATTGTTACAATATGTGTAAAAAGCGCCCCACATCGATAGTCGGGCTGTCTCATGGGAATTTTCCGCGATTCTCCCATATGACAAACAAATGCGGCTACTTTATCCTCCAGGATGGTATTGTTCTCCCTTCATCACCCGTTGGTGGACTGTTGAGGAGCGACGCATAAATGGTAATTGAGGTCCACCGATGCTACACACAAACAAAAATGCTCTTACTGCTGTATTTGTGTGCATGTGTGTCATAAATACATATTAAGAAAGAGTAAGTAGCATTTTATATTATGTTTTTGATTTTATAGTATAAGTTGGTTTTAACTTACAGTATATTCTGGCGTTTAACCGCGCACTTTTAACAGACAAAAAACAAGTAATATAAAAATGAAAATTTTAAAAGTCAATTCCTACTTTCTTTTCACTATATTGCAGAATATTCTTTATAAATAATGTTCATTCTAGTTGTTTAATTGGTTTAAGTTTATTTGGCGCCCTCTATTGGTAGATATATGCAACTTAAATCTAAAAAAAACTAAAATTAATTAATTAAATTTAATTACTGAATTAATATTTGAAAAACTGTATTAACATCAAGTGTCATCCACTACGAGTTGAAAAAAATGTATTTGAACTGGTGTGGATGAATAAAAAGCATTTTATTAACGATTGAAAATTTGAACAAGATATATATATAAGGAGAGTGTGAGCTAATAGAAGGAATTGGAAAAAGATCGAAATTTAAGGGGTGCGCTTTATATGCCAGATAAAAAGAAAATGATAGCTTTAAAAAACAGATGAGCATAAAAAAATTAGATTTCTACATATATTGTAACACTATTTATTCAAAAGAAATGACAAAGCTTATGAACTCCCATTATTGGATAATATGAAAGGTCGTCATAATCGTCTTCCATTATATATTCAGGCACATCATCAAATTCTAATTCATCTTCACCATCACTGTTACTCTGATCCATAAATAAATAATCGTCCCATCTAGATTGTTAGATATACTACACTTTTAAATGATTTTGAATTACGTTAGGATTTTCATTCGTTTTTTAATATCCATTCATACACTATTTCTAGACTAGCAAGACGCATTTTGCCTCCTTTGTAAACGTTTTCATCTTATAACATCCACATATTCAATTGTCGTTTTAAATTTGCTTTGAATGGTTTATTGATACACACATCTAAAGCCTGAACTAATGGCTTTAAATGGCCTGGAATTATTCTAATGGCTGTGGTGCACTCTCTCAGAATTTTCTTCGTATTATCCATTAGATGAGATCTGAACAAACTTTCTGGTTAATTTAAAACACCTGAACACTTTTGCCAATCATTTTTTATTCACAATATTACATCATTTTTTGTCCATCTATCCTTTCTTGTGCACATGAATGAAAACATCTTTCGGGAAATTAGATTTCGATATCGCTTTTCTTTTAAAAATAACCATGGGTTTTAATTTTGTGCTTTCCGTTAAGCAGGGAGAGTACTACGGTGAAATGAGATTTTTCGTGGCCTTTTTTTTTTTTTTTTTTTTTTTTTGTGTTGTTTTTTTTTTTTTGTGTGGACTGATTTTGTTCCTTTCACATCTATTGTTTTATTTTCTATCATATCAAACATTACTGGACTTGCACCCATATTTCTAATATGTGACAGTAATTTTTTTTTTTTTTGCCTTCGTAGGTCAATGACATACTTCTGGAAACTCATCAATTTGTTGTCCAAATCTTTAGGAAGCATTTGGGCAACTTTTGTTTTTCTCGTAGAACTAAATTACTCCGCGCCATAAATCGGCTATACCAATTCAAAGTTACTTTAAAATTTTCACTTTTATATGAGTTATTTTGCCCACTTTAAGCAAATAGACGTACACTGTTTCCTGTTACAATTAATCCATTCTTGTGTTTTTCTGGGATACTATACAGTTCGCAACACTTTCTTCTAGGACAGGCCATTTCGTTACTCCTTTATGCAAAGCACATTTATTCCTTGTCATATTAATAATTGTCATTTCATTTTTCTTCCGCTCGCGTATGGAGTTTTCACTAACAGCAAACATCTTTGCTGCAGCACGATTTGCATTTTCTTTTTGCAAATTGAATCACTGTGAATTTGAAACCAGCAGTGTGCTTGCTTCGTTTTACAGGACCCATACTTACTACTGAAAGGGATACTATGAACTTTATTGAATATGCTACAGAGAGCTTAAAAAATTTCAGGCGCGGTCTGATTTGTTCCAAGATAGTAAGTCGTCCGTGTGCGGTAAATCCTGTACCATGACGCCGATTTTGCCTCTCTTCCCTCTCTTTACTTGCACATTATGGTTGTAGTTCGAAAAGTATACCATTTTTCAAAGCCAGGAAAAATTCTTCGAATAAATGAAATCAAAAGGTGAGAACATTATGTATATTTCAGATTTCTTCGTAAAAAAAAAAAAAAAGTGCGCGTTTTAGATCAAAACCATCTAAAAATTAGGAAATGCAGTTTGAGAGTATAGATGCACCTTAAACACCGGAATATACGATAAATAATGAATATTCACATTTCACAAAATAGGTTTTTCAATTAACGCATTAAATTATTTTTTTAATCAACTTTAAAAAAAAAAAAAAAAAAAAAAAAAAAAAACTTCAAATATGTTTTTAAAAAAAATGTTTTTCCCGGTATATCCTATTTAAAAAAAATCGTTTTTACATCATTGTATTAGAAGCTAGATCTTCAGAAAGAGATAATGCCATGTGCAATATTTAAAAAAAATAATAAATAAATGATGGTCGTCCGTCGCTTCGAGTGCGGGAAGTGCATGCATAACTGCGTCGAGCAGTTGGTCGAAGTCTATGGTGGAATCATTCATGAAAACTAGGAGCAGTTTAAAGAGCTCGAGCGTAGATTCGCTAAGCGGTGCATTTTTAGCTCCAGTGGCGGGCGGCGCTTGTGGTCTAATGATGGGCGGCGCTTGTGGTCTAATGATGGGCGGCGCTTGATGGTTTGTTCGGCCGGCAATAATGTCGGCGTAGGTGGAATTGTTTGAAACTCTGCGTAGAAATGGCTGAGTCCTGGAAACATTTTGTTTTTTGCGGGGGGATTAATTATTGTATTTTGTTTTTTTCTGCACAGATGGTGCATTAGGTTTGATAGAAGATAGATTATTCTGATTCCTTTGTTGGAATCAGGGGCATTGGCGCCAGTTCGCCGCATGATCCCCAGAGCAATTTGCACACTTAAGCGGAGCTTCAATACCGGGTCGCAATCTTTCGCATCGTGTGGACGGGCACATTTGACGCATCGTTTTGGAAGATGACAAGCAGCATTTGAGTGAAAAAACCCTTGACAACGATAGCATTGCGGGATTCTGTTACGCCCCTTGTATCTTTCGATACTAATGCGGGTGCCGAGAAGAGTGGTGAGGTTGTAAATTTCCTCGGTTTCCAGGGTGTTCGCGATTTGGATATAAAAAGTGGCATTGGCCATTTATTACCCTTGAGGAGTTGATTAACTGCAAGAATTTTGAATCCGAGGTGTGATAAAGCAAAGTTTATATCCTCTTTGGGGGTACAAGCTGGAAGTCCCCTTATCATAACTTTAACTGGCCTGTCTTGTTTTAAATTGAAACATTTAAATTCGAGTCCCAAATGGACGAGTTTGTTTTTCATTCGAACGTGTTCAACCTCACTCGCGACAGTAATTTTTAAAAAATTACCTCTAGAGAGGACAGAGCTTAAAGTGGGAGAAATAGTTTTCAATTGTGGGAGAATGCTACCCCAGTCTTTAGTGCACCTGATAAAAAAGGGGGAAATCCTTTGACGCCTAGGGGGTTGCTCTGGCGGATCTGCATCGTCAGCCATTTCTGAATTAGTCATGTTAGTGAGAGAGGAGAAAGAGTTAGTAGTTGAATCTTGCTTACTATCTGGTGGAGTTGGCATGTAATGGGTGCCTCGGGCGATCAGGTGACGTGGAGGGGCGGTCAACCCATCTTTGTCGGTAGAGCGTCTGGCTCTAGTATTGTCCAATTGCGTATCTGGTGAACTTTTACGCTTAGTAGGTTGTTTTGGCTTTGTGCCAGTGTCTTTGGCTGCTGCTGTTGCAGGCTGGGCAATGTTGTTAGAAGTTTGGTCCCGTCTTTCAGTGACCGCTTTTATGATCCTTGAAGTCTCCTCCGGTGTTGATGAGAGCTTAGCAAGGGGCACTCCAAGTTGTGCGATGGCTGCATCTATTTCTTGCGAGGCTGTGAGAAGGCCTGCTTTGATGTTTGCAGTTTTGTCGGGATCAGGATTGAACTAAGTTGGATTTCAAAGTACTTCGGTTGTTGGCACAAGTTGTTGATATGGTCCATAATTTGTTTATTTTCGAAGATAAAGTCGTCAGTGACTATGTAGCTCGAAGGTGAAGCTGGTCTGGTAGGTTTCAGAGAGCAAGTTCGAGGTAGTCTCGG